ATTTTTTTGCTGTTAGGTAAACATAATACCAAACACGTTTAGTGAAATTATACTAAGTAATAAAAACATTTAAGCCACTAATTTTCAGTTTTCAACTTTTAATACCATTTGAAAACGAGTAACATTTTATGATAGCGGAATCAGTAGCAAATTTAGGTGTATTATTTTCAAAAGGCAAAATTACAAATTTTTCATTTTTTTTTTGTACATGGAAATACTTTGCTGCATGCCCTGCAGTGATGAAGCGCTCAACGAAGGCGTCTTAAAAAATAAATTCTAGAAAATGCGAATGTTACATATTTGATTAGATAATTAACATTGACATAAACCTTCATGGTTCAGGACGTTAAGTGCTCAACTTTGGATTTCGTAAAGTTCAGTTCCCGCCGACTACTACTATTTTTTTTGAACCGTTATCAAAATGCTACAAAATTTACCAGAAAGATTTCATTAATTGTAAGGATTATATTATGATAAATAAAATGTATTTAAATAAATAAACAGCATTAGTCATATTTTTTTTTTTTTTTTTTTTTTTTTAATAAAAAAGAATGTTTTCATCTGTAATTGAATCCAGGTTGGGAAATCCAAACTTGAACGCTTAACGACCTAAGCCTTGAAGGCACTTATGTCAAGTTAATTATCTAATCAAATATGTGACATTCCTTTTTAAAATACCATCATTGTGCACTCCACTGCTGGTGTGTCCATCTTCTACAAGAGAAAAAAGAAGGAAACATTTGTAAAGTTGCCTCATTATTTGAACACTAAGCGCCAGCATGGGAAATATATGTTAAAGTTAGTTTTAAGAACTTTTAACATTCAAATAAACAAAAACAATTTATAAATCTATTATTAAAATCCGTGTTGGAACAAAACATGTAAAATTGTTGTATTTGAAAGATAATATTCTAAAAAGGGAAAGGACTTCGTTCGAGAGCCTATTGGACTGAATATTCGGTTGAATCAATGACCATTATTACTACTATTCTTAAATATTTTGTTATTATTTAATTTGCTTGTAAATTTATGTGTAAATATATTATAAATTACACTGGTCAACAGTGATTTTGTGGACGGGGGTTTGAGAGCGTTTTTAGGCAATCGTTTTACCGATTTCAAATCGCTTCTCCGGAAGAACAATGACGCAAGTGTATGTTTTACTTTTAAGGCCTATAAATCTTCAATTGTTTCAAAAAGAATAAAATAAAGTAGTTCTGTCTAAAACTAAAATAAATTTGCTGTCTCGAAGTCCCCATCGATTATTTCCAATTTTTTCCTTAACGTCTTAGTTGTAAGTTTCATATTAAAGTTTTTTGATTTGCTATTTCTGTGGAATCATTAATTTTTACTTGCGTCATTGTTCTTCTGAAAAAGCGAAATGTGACTCACGTTTTGCTTGATTGGCTTTAGTTTTTGAGATAGTCAACTAGTCAAAATAAAAAAAAATGCAAATAATAATAAGACATTAATTTATTTAATCAGTTTTGTCTGAACTAACTAAAAGGCGTATTCTATCAACAATGAAAAATAGTGATAAATTATTAAAAAAAATGTTTTTGTAAGATTTTCTTTTATGCTCAAAGTTAGGAATTCATAATTATTGTGTCATTCGTAGAATTCTGTACTAAATAGAGCACTGATTTTGAAAATAGATTTTAACCATTTTGACAAGTTGGTGAACCTTGTAGCATTGTATAATGAAATATAAAGACTAACTGAATATGTCTGCCACAAATATACCACTTGTAGGTCTATCGATTTCGTCTTGAGCTGTTCCTAAACAAAGAGCGGAGCTATTGAAAACTTCCTTTCAAGGTGATTTATTTCAACACTCAAAGCCAGCCGAGAGAACATTTTTTCTTTTATTCATGAACAACAGCCAAGATACATTTGGAAGTCACTAATACGAGTATATCTGTGTGACTCCTATTTTTTTTTTTTAATTTGTTTTCCAGTGTTATGAATTGATTTTTCCCTGATTAGTGATTTCCTTGTTCTTTAACTCAATTTCTTGCAAACTGTTGATAGCTTTGATGAAATTTTGTAGAAAATCTTCAGCTATTTTTATGGTTATAAACTTTTCCAACACTTAGTCCAGACATAGTAGTTGGTAAAAGATGCTTATTGCGTCCAATTAGAGGTACTTAGATTACATGCAATATTTTCAGACGCTTATTTCTTGTTTAAAACATTGGACATTGTTATTGTTTAAACAGGGTGTTTCCGAACTTGGCGTCCAAATTTGTAGGGGTGGTAGATCGAATAATTTGAGAGCGTTTGGCAGATTTCATTTTTCCAAAATATTTAAAATAAAAATAATTAAAAATTAATTAAAAATTTTAAACAGGTACGGTCTTGCACAGCGATGGAAGCGCCTCGAGCAATACGCACTAGAAAAACAATCGGCTACGTCTTTCGATACCGGCAGGGCGGAAGGAGAAATTTGCAAATCGCATCTGTTTTTGAGTTGTAAATCCCGATGAGTAACCGATCAGGCAACTATTGAGCTACGCGCTCAGGGTAGGACCCGCTTTTTGATTTTTTGTTATAATGGCTCTATTTTGTTTATTATAATTTTTTTAGAAAAATGAAATCTGACAATCGCGCTCAAATTATGCGAACTACCACCCCTATAAATTTTAACGCCAAGTTCGGAAACACCCTGTATATATATTGACATAACCACACATAACCAAAATATTGACCAAAGTCCTTAAACACTTTTTATCACCTTCATCCAAAAATTGTATTTTTACGGTTTTGTCAATTGAAATAAATTTTCATTATAATGTTTATTTTTTTATGTCTTTTATCATGAATTGTTATTTTTTAATAAATAAAGATATGTTTTCAACTTTAATAGGTAGGTTGTAGCATTGTATTTAGAGAAGATAGTAGAACAACCTTATGGACGTTTCATTGGAGGCAATTCTGTCGCGACATCTGTTAGAAATTCATCAAAATAGCCCGAACGCTAGCACTTCCTCGATCATTGAGTACAGAATTCTATATACATAAAATTTTCTTAATTTTTAAATTCATGTGGTGCTAAATTTAAATTACTATTGTTTATATTCTCTAAAATGATAATAAATCGTAAATGAATGTTCAACAAGCATAATTAAACTCGTATATTCCATTTTTAAAACAAATATTCTGAATCGATTATGGGCCCATCTATTAGTAAATAGAGAAATTACGTTCGTTTCGAAGACGACAAAATTATCAAAGACATGACTTGGACACCACGGAGCTTGCTGCCATCTATTGATACTGTCCATTGTCCTCCAAGATAATTTGCATTGGTATTGTTTTACTAGTTGATCTAAATACAATGGTTGTAGGTAGTAGAGGCCACGCGCCTCATCGAAAAGAAGACGTAGAGGGCGTATCTGCATAGCATTAAAAATTGACTACTTCATTAAATCGCCACTAGATGCCGCCCGAGATTGCATCCAACACTTTTTACTGTAGCATTATCCTACTATAATATCTTCATACAACGATAGTAGTTTTTTGTCTAGAAAATATTACGATTTGAACAACTTGATCCAATAAAATATTGATATAAAGGTGAATTTTTTAATTTTTTTTTCCTAATAACTTTCAACTTTTCAACTTTTTTGTTACATAAGTTAGGGCCATTTTTATTAAAAATATTAAAATCACGTCGATTTGACAAAAAAGTTAAACTTGTTATTAACCCAAAAGTTGACTGTTTTTCGATATAATCGCGTTTTAGAAATCAGCTCCATAATTCTCATTTAATTCATTGCGTAAAACATTTTTACAGCAATGCAGTGATATGATAAATATTAATATATAGCGGGAGTTTGCGTCAAAAAAGTAAGTGTTCAATATGTTCTCCATTATCTTGTCTCATATTAAATAAAACCATTGGTTGGGAAAACCTGCTACTGCATGAGTAACAATAGCAGCACTTTACTTCACTATGCCAGATTTTTTCCTAGATTTGGGGAAAAAAATTAAACCGGCAACACTGTAATGAAATTGACTAATCGTTTGAAACTTTATTCAAGTAGTATTCAAGTAGTGTTCAAGTAGTATTCAAGTCGTATTTAAGTAGTATTTAAGTAGTATTCAAGTAGTAATCAAATCGTATTCAAGTAGTATTCAAGTATTATTCAAGTAGTGTTCAAGTAGTATTCAAGTAGTATTCAAGTAGTATTCAAGTAGTATTCAAGTAGTATTCAAGTAGTATTCAAGTAGTATTCAAGTAGTATTCAAGTAGTATTCAAGTAGTATTCAAGTAGTATTCAAGTAGTATTCAAGTAGTATTCAAGTAGTATTCGAGTAGTATTCAAGTAGTATTCAAGTAGTATTCAAGTAGTATTCAAGTAGTATTCAAGTAGTATTCAAGTAGTATTCAAGTAGTATTCAAGTAGTATTCAAGTAGTATTCAAGTAGTATTCAAGTAGTATTCAAGTAGTATTAAAGTAGTATTCAAGTAGTATTTAGTATTTAAGTAATATTGTTGTAGTATTAAAGTTGTATTCGTGTAGTATCAGTATCAAATAGTATTCAGATATTGCAATAAAAACTCTAAGTACACTTTGTAACGTAATGAGTAATTGTTTCTCATATAGTGGCCATCTAGTGTTGGGGAATTTTAAGAAGTTTGAAGCTTTGCCATACGCTTAGTCAGTAGCATTACGGTGTTGACGGTATAATTTTTCCCCAAATCCGGCATAGTATAGTGTTGATATTACTACTTGCATGCATATCTATTCAAAGTTGAGCGAAAGTATTTATTGAATTCTTATGCCCATAGTAATATCTCTTATTTTCATATTCGTATAATTGATATATCTCGGCATCTTCTGCTTTTTCTTAAAACACATTTTTATCGGTATGATATAACTCTGATTTTTTCATTATTTGTTCGAAATTTGAGGAAGTTAATAACCTCTTTGCGAACCTTGTGATAGTGATATTTTAAAAGTAAACAATTAATACAGATTATGAACATTTTTCAGACTTCGTTCCCAATGAAGATTCACGCGCTTCACATAGTCAACCAATCCTGGATATTCGACATAATTTACAACATTTTCAAGCCGTTCTTGGACGAAAGGATGAAAGAGAAAATTTTCTTCCACGGGGACGACATGGAGAGCCTCCATCAGCACATCGATCCCAAACATTTGCCCGAAAGGTACGTTATTTATTTTGATTATCTAGAAAATATGCAAGGTTATTTTTAAAATAAAGAACAGAATGTGAATGATATTCGATTGCTAGTTTTGGAAAATTCAACCAAGAGATTTTCACCAAGACTGCAACAAAAGAGGAATCTTTTTTTATTATCTTTTATTGTCTTAAGTTAATAGTATTTAAGTAGAATTTTAGTCTTAATTATTTAGTGTGTTGAAATAAAATAAAAATGAATAATTATCTCCTAGATTTCAAAATCGAACAAACAAATACGAAAGAACTAGACAATCTACCAGACTATAACATATTTATTGAAGAATACAAAAAAAAACGAAAGCATATCTATTTTACAAATGAATATTAGAAGTGCCAATAAAAACTTTGACGAGTTCAAAATCCTACTAAACCAAGTCAATATGAATTTCGGCTTTATTGTTACCAGCGAAATATGAAAAATTTTAGATACTATTTTACATCAGTTGAGTGGTTATGATTTATTTTATACTGATGGTAGTTTCAATGAATGTGACGGAGTAATAATTTTTGCAAAAAAAAGAATATCACTGCTCATATTCTCTAATAAATTTTCAGAAAATAAGTATTCTAGAAGTTACCACTAGAGTTAATAATAAAGTTATATTAATAAATGATATTTATAGGCCATGTCCATCAAATCCGACCACTTTCAATAATGATCTAGAATATTATTTAAAACAATGTTATTTACCTCAAACAAATTTACATTCATATACATTATACATTGTTTTTATATTTTTGGTAAATAAATTATTATAATTATTATTAAATAATGGGATCTCTTATGTTCAACAATGGTTAACGAAAATGGGCAATATTTCGTCCTTTTTTTGTCCACTAAATTGAACATTTCTGGTTGAATTGCAGCAATTCGCACCCCAATAGTGAATGAAATTCGGTTGCTTAAATAATGGGATCTCTTATGTCCAACAATGGTTAACGCAAATGGGCAATATTTCGTTCTTTTTTTCTTTTAATTTTTCCAGCGTTGTTAGTCGTGTTCTAAACACAAACATTTTACAATAACCCCACAGCTAATAATCCGCAGGTTTAATATCAGGCTTTTTAAAAGGCCATGTATTTACAAAATGTCTGCTTACCTATGGGTTTGAAAGCAATTATTCCCTAAATCGCGATGATTAAGTTTAACACTTGTGTCAGCAGTTGTCACGACAATTCTTTTGTTTTCCACAGATACAGTAAAATCTAAAAATTCTACTAGAATGATTTCTTAAAATTATATAAAACTTTAAAGTATGCACATACTTCATGATGACCCCATATTTGTTTTTTTTAAGTATTGTACGTTCATTTATTTTCAAATTTTAGCGTATTTAAGAAAATAAGAATATATTTTATTATTTTTGTGATTGAAAAAAAAAATTCTCTTGTTTGTTCCGTAAGGTATGTTCGAGACATGTTTGAAAAACATTTGATAACGTTGTTGATTTGACAATGTGTTTCTGTTTAAATTTACCTTAACAATACATGGCAGACGGGATAATATAATAATAATAAACTTTATTCGCCAAAATTGATGGCAGGACGATCTAGACCGACAAAATTAAGTATAGAAAAAAGTAATTTATGATTTAATGCATCAAATCCTTGCTATAGTCTAGGAGAATTAGAGCAGCTGACTACTTATCTAAATTTCTAAAAATATCTGATATGTTCAGAAGCGCCGTGTCGCAACTATACCAGGGCCTCAATACTGATTGTATCAGGAAGAAGGTTATATGTTTGCAGGTAAATTCATAATTGTGATTAAATTATTCTTTATATGATCATCAAAATTGTAGGAATCATTATGGGCCTTAGATCATTTAAGACTAGACTGAGATTACACGTCGGTATTAGAAGAACCTGACCTACGTTTCGACTGACTAATAGAAAATAATCGACGAATCGAAAATAATCGATTAATAAAAAAGAATCGAATAATCGAACGTAATCGATTAATCGAAAATAATCAATAACAATATATTAATAAAAAATAATCGATTAATCGAAAATAATCGATTAATCGAAAATAATCGATTAATTGAAAATAATCGACTAATTAAAACAATTGATTAATCGAAAAGAATAGGTTAATCGAAAAATCGAATAATCGAAAAAATCGACTAATCGAAAATAATCGACTAACCGAAAATAATGGACTAATCTAAAATAATCGACTAATCGAAAATAATCGACTAATCGATAACAATATAATATTAAAAAATAATCGATTAATCGAAAATAATCGATTAATTAAAAATAATTGATTAATCGAAAAGAATAGATTAATCGAAAAAATGTATCATTCTAAAAAATCGATTAATCGGAAAAATCGACTAATCTAAAATCGACCAATCGAAAATCGACTAATCGAAAATAATCGACTAATTGAAAATAATCGAAAATCGATTAATAAAAAAAGAATCGAATAATCGAACGTAATCGATTAATCGAATATAATCGACAATATATTAATAAAAAATAATCGATTAATCGAAAATAAAAGATTTACGAAAATACTCGTTTAATCGAAAATAATCGATTTATCGAAAATACTCGATTAATCGAAAATAATCGTTAAATCTAAAATAATCGATTAAAAAAATATATAATAATCGACTAATCGATTATTTTACACATCCCTAATCACTACTAGAAACTGAATATCGATCGACATCGCTTACCTCGTGGTTTTCTAAGGCAGCTTGAAGAATTCCCTTCCATGAGATTGACTTGAATTTTTTCGATTTATTGTTCAAAAATTTAAATTCTAACTCTAGATGACAGCTACAACATGATACTCGCACCACTTTAGAGGTTAGTTAGTTCGTAACATTGCCAAATTGACATTTTTGAAGGCGTTGTCACTTAGACCGGTATAGAATTATAGTATTTTGCAAGCTACATTGGTATATTGTTACATATCGATACTAGTGGCAGAGTGAGGTTTTTTTTATGTTAAAGAGGGTTAATGTAATATAGATAATAATTAAATAACATAACAGTTCGTGAAATATCGCCTATTGGACATTCATTATAATGTTTCTATTTATAAGGTTTTACAAGTGGGTAAATTTACAGATGCTTTATGTATTAGGCTGTAAACGTATGTTAAAATTTAAGACACGCATAAAACAAGATAAACATATATATTTTTTTTAGATATGGTGGAATCCATCCAGACTACAACTACAACGACTGGATAGAAAACTTTGAAAAGAACGACAAAATCGTCCAAGAATTGAAATCTTTGGGCTATAACGACTATCGAAATGACCCAGAAATAATAGAAAACGAACAGAATTTATAAAATTGGGAACAATAAACGGGACTGTGTCTAATATTATTTAGGGCTAGCCGATTATCAAAATAAAACGATTATTTTCGATTAATTTGATGGAGATTTGGCAATAAAACTATTCATTGCGTTACTTTGATTTTAGCGCCCTCTAGCTTGATAAAAAATTGTTGCATATTGTGTGTCACTTCATTTGAAAGCTAATTTAATTACTAATTCAACCTTTTTTATGTCAATTATTCGAATAATAAAATTCAAATTTTGATTAATCGAAAATAATGGATAATTCCAAAAATCGACTAATCGAAAATAATCGACCAATCATAAATAATCGATTAATCGACTAATCGAAAATAATCGACCAATCGAAAATAATCGATTAATCAAAAATATTAGATTACCGATTTTTTTAAAAAATTATCGAATAATCGATTATTTCGCCCACTCCTGTCATTTGTTAAAAAAAAATTCAAACAATTTTTAAACGAATTTATGAAATCATGACAAGACTAGCTGACAATTATTATGACATGTCGATGGCTCAATCAAATACTGCCACAACTAAAATGCTATTGTTTTGAGAAATTTCGTTTTAAAATTTTGTAAGCCTCTATTATCATTATTTTGTTTTTGGCATAAAATCTTTATATTTTATTTAAAAGCTACATTTTGCTGTTAAAATTAACAAATAATACAAAAGCACCTTAACTTGAGTTATTCCGAAGTTTGTAAAAAAATTGTTTTTTTTTTGCAGAAAATAACCCGAATTGAGGCAATTTTAGATACAGTTTGTGGCTGGATTTTAAATCATTTTCAGGCATCTCTAAGAATATTTTGGTTTGTGGCGCTATTTAAAATAAAATCTCAATGATATTTTGCATCCATTTCACCAAAAATTTCATTTTCTTTGTGTTTTGGCTTGTGGCAGTTTTTGATTGAGCCATCGATGTATTAGTGTTAATTTTCATCACAAACACAAGGAATATTAGTAACTTGGTAGCACACTTGACAATTCTGTTTTCGACGTTCCATGTCAGAATTTAAACAATTCAAAACGAGCAAAAATACGACAACTGGGTAGATATTGGGATAAATATTGAACCATTAGGTAATAAAACATCGTTATATTTACTATGTAGTGCAGAGGTAAGAAGAACTATCTGTATACAAAAAATGTTTCTCAAAATATATAAAATTAAGATGGCGCTTCTGTACCACACGGGAAAAATCCAATGATATATGTTATATTGTTCACCCATATGTAAAAACTACTCCGTGAAAAGTGACAACTTATAATCGTAGAGAAAATTTGACGACAGATGACAATACTCAAATTTTATTTTAATATAATATATAAACAATTATATTAAAATGGTGATAACGTGTGCAATCAAAAACTGCTTAGGTGTTGGCACAAGTTTAAAAAATAGGACATGCCAGCCGTTATTATTTTCAAAAATCATGGTATGTACAGAGGGATGGAGATAGTCATGTATTACGTTTTTGTCTTATTTGTTAAATTTGAATAATTTATGTATTACATTGCTTGACAATAATGACATTTTGCTGGACAAATACAATGTTTTGCTTTACAAGATCAAATGCTGAATAGATTTTGAAAAGCTTGCATAATACAGCGAAATGCTGTACATTTTGGTCACCCCAGTGTATAAAAGTCAGAAAAAGAAAAACAAGTGATATCTAACACTATTTAATTTGAAAAATCCCAATTTCGATTACATCTAGCAAAAAGAAATTGCAAGAAACTTGTTAGGGTTGTGGGTTTTTTCAAAATCCGGGTACATAAACATATAAAAAAAGCTACAGGCAAAACTTGTGCAGGAAAGTAATCTTGCTTCATTTTTCTATTTGAGTTCGACTACTTATGCCAATTTTTGTGCATCCCAGACAATGTCATTCGCAAAACTACGTTACTTGTTGACTGCATGCAATAAAACCTTTTAATGGCGCCTCGCTTTTCGTCGTCTGATTTACATATGGATAAACAATCTATGACTTTGTATCATTGAATTTTTCCCCTCTAGTACACGAGAGCCACCTTAATTTTTTACATTTTGGTGGACATAAACAAACATAAGTTGTCCTCATATCCACTACATTCCATAATACTAAAATCCAAAAGCTGATCATTCAAAGAAAATAAATCCATTTTTTGAATCGTAGATCAATTTGTCACTTCGACTCATGAAACGAAGACTATAGTAACTCATTATTTCTAGTTTTGAGAAAATCTAAGATAGTATTCGTAGTATTTTATGGCCTGGAATGACATACTATATCTTATGGTAGTATTTTTGGTTGCCTAACCTCTTCGCTTAGACATACTATACTTTTCCAAGTCAAAGCTTTTGGTAAATATATGCGCTGGATAATTTAACTCAGAAGCTCCCAAGATGAATTACTATAGTCTTCGTTGCATGAGTCGACTTATTTAAACTCTGTTTAACTTAAACGCAAGTAACCCGTAAACACAATAGCTCCTTGACAACAGGCACATTGAGCTAGAGGATAGAGAAACATCCAAAACAGAATCACTGTGCTAGCCAATAGCAGCCGGGCGTGTGCGTATCATGCTGTGCTTACGCGTTACTTGCGTTTAAGTTGAATAGAGCTTAAATGGAATTAGACGATTGTAATAGAGAAAAAAAAATACAATAGCCAACTGATTTTTTAAATATTCATGCGACTTAAATAAAAAAAATAGTTTTAAGGGCTTTTTAAATATATAATATCGCCGGTGTAGAGCAAAAGGGACCAAGCGACAATCGAGCCATTTTTGAGATATTTGCCATAACCATAACCTCGAACCCTAAGTAACGTTACATATATAAAGGCGACAAACGTCGTATTAAGATGATAGACAAGAGTACAAGCGCCAACATTTAAATAAGAATAAAGACAAAGTTTAAAATTGCTGTTTTCTTGGTGCTTTGCGCTTGACTCCTTTTTGCTCTACACCAGCAATAGATATGATGTACCTTAGTGATATTTAAGAGTTTAATTTAATGGTAATTCTGTAAAAAAATTACTTTTGTCTATAATGTCATAAAAAGTGATTCAATAATATTTACTTGCCACATCATTTTTTTACATTTAGCAATTGCTAGGCATTAAGGTAAAGGAGATAACCATTATATATTCATATATTTTTATATTTTAATACATTTTATAAATGTAAAAAATAAAACTTTGTACTTACCTTTTAGTTTTCTTTCTACACCAAATAGCTTTAAGGCTTGGCCAACGCCCTCAGTTTTAAATAGTTTTAAAAAATATACTAAAAGTTTAATATTATGTTCAGAGTACGCTAGTATATCTATTTCGGTAAATTAAATCGAATAGTGTTCCAAGTAAAAAATCTTAATGATTATGCGTATCCTTAAAACACTAATAATTTGGCCGATTGTATCGACAATCTGTGAAATTGGAAATTGAATTTCTAGAGATTTTTTGTATTGTATTGGTATTATTGAGACGGTCTAATTATTTATAAGGTACCTATATTAAATAACAGAAATATATAAAAGCTTAAATATATCTAAAATAAACGCAATGTACATTGTTATACGTTAGGTCAGTGAAATTCTACAAACATCAAATAATAAAATTACATATAAAAAAATGTTTTTTATAATGAATTCGTATAACTTGTTATACTCAGATTCCGTCTAAGTACATATTCTTATTTGAACCGGCAACATTGCTATCTTATATCTGAGGTTAGCGGTGATCCTAATGATGTTACAGCATATTACCGATACAGAAAAAACTATAATTATCATTTAAAGAACACAAAAAAAGCAGCTTACGACAATGACATATGTTTTTCTCAAAACAAACCCAAACAAATTTAAAACTAGCTCTCCAGATGTTTCTTTAACTCCTAATGAGTTTAACGATTTTTTTTCTAATGTGGCAGAGAATATTATAAAATCATTACCAGCAGTTTCATTAACTGACTTACTAACTTTCAGAACTTTTCCAGCCCCTTGCAGTTCTTTCTTTTTGTTACCAACAACAAATGAAGAAGTTATAAATACAATTTCTCATCTAAAAAACTCCAGTTGTCTGGATGCAAATAAACTTAATAGCTTTGTCATTAAAGAAACGGCACATATTATCGGAACACCCCTTACTACTCTGATTAATTTAATTTTTAATACCGGAATTTTTCCAGACGCTTTTAAGTTTTCCAAAGTTTTGCCACTACATAAAAATGGAAAACTTCATAATTGGATAACACTTTCGTCCAATTTCCATAATGTCTATTTTTAGCAAAAAATAGACAAGTTGATAAAGGAACGTTTGTATAACTTCTTTGAAAAATATAATTTTTTTACGAATTCCCAATATGGGTTCCGTAAAGGACGTTCAACTTCTCACGCTCTTCTAGAGATTGTGAATGGCATAGTCGAGGGCTTTGAAGGTGGCAAACATACAGCTATTAAACTGTGTGACCTCTCAAAAACTTTCTTCTGTGTTTCTCACAACATTCTATTGGAAAAGCTGTATTACCGTGTTAGAGGGACGTCATTATCATTAATTGAATCCTATTTAAAAATCGATATCAGACTGTAGTCTACAATAATTCCAAGTCTGGCCTTAATTTAATTAAATATGGTGTTCCTCAAGGTTCTGTCCTTGGCCCTCTGTTATTCATCATTTATATTTATGACAAATAAACTTAAATTAAATGAGGACAAAACACAGTCTTTACTTTTCTACATTCTTAGAGTGAGTTCACTACTTGGTATATACAGGGTGTTTCCGAACTTGGCGTCCAAATTTGTAGGGGTAGTAGTTCGCATAATTTGAGAGCAGATTTCATTTTTCTAAAAATATTATAATAAACAAAATATAGCCATTATAGAAAAAATCAAAGAGCAGGTCCTACCCTGAGCGCGTAGCGCAATAGTCCTCAAAAACATCAAATTTTCGATTAATTTTCTGAATATAAATTATTTTACCATTCCGCTGATACTTTCAACTATTCTCAATTAATTTGAGAGCCCACAAAATCATTTACGTTTTAAATGATGTTTTAACATGCATTTTGTTTGAGCCAATTTTCATGTAAACCCAACCTTAAAGGGTGAAAATGATACCACATTTTTGGTCAAAACTTTTTAATTTAATTTTTTATCACTAGAAATACAAATTATTATTTATACATAATTATATCCTAAATTGCCTTAAATAAACTTAGGCAAAATTAAACACTTAAGAATAAAAACAAACGTTGCATCCTCACACATTCTACTCAGACATGTCATCACATTGCCTGAAAAGAAAAAAAAAAGCAATTTAAGAAACGAAGCATTATTTGTAAAGTCAAACAAAAGTAGTTGTTAGGGACACCTGTCAAATGCTGACGTTTAACTGTCAAACATATCAATCTGGAAATTGTCTGTCAATTAATGGTTAATGTTTAATTGAGTGTTGATAAGTGTTAACTGACATAAAAACAAATACAGCACAATTTTCGAGAGAAAAGAAAAAGGAAAGATCCATGATCTTGTAAAAAAAAAGCACTAAGATGGCGTAAAACTTATGACCTACGATAATTAGAAAAACGAGTGGGGTAGTCAAAAGATAGTCAAATTTGACACCATACAATTTTCATTTTAAAGCAACTTAATTTGGTATTTACAAAAAAAAGTACTTATCACTGACCAAGAGCGTTCATTACGTCCCCTAATGACAAAGTTGGGAATCTGAAATTAATTTTTAGCAGGTTATAGTGAGCTCCTAACTGTAGATAAATGGTTCCTTAATGGCTTTTCTTATTTGGACATATGGTACATCCCAACCACGTACAATCATGTACATTATTGGACTAATAAACTTTTAACAGGTACATAATCATTTTTATATGAATTAGTAAATTAAGGAAAACAATTGAATTAGAAGTTTTAAGTAATGACGCTAAAGAGGTGTATAATAAAAGAAATTCTTTGTAAAATAGAGGAAAAAAACAAGATAGGCAACACCTCGATAACTGGTTATATTATGAAAAACAATGGTAGCTGCTTTTCAGATAGTGAAATGTCTACACTAAGTCATTCTACAGGAATTAATTGAAGTTATCTGTAACCATTCAGACTTTTCTTTTGTCAGTACACTATTTCTTTTAATATAACGACTACTAACCTTGCTTTTTCAATCCTTGACTTCGCCGACTTCCGCAGGGGGCGGAGCGCTGATCTTAGCCGGCGGTTCAGGCTGGCTCTCTCCCTCTTCCTTGTCGGCCCATTTACCGCCGATCTCCCTATCGATCAACTTGCTAGTATCGGTACTGATGTAGTCGTCCCTATCCTCGCCCTCAGACAGCGGTCCTTCGTGCCTGACCGGAGCATCTCCGTCGGAATATTTGTTGATTTTCTCCTTTTCGGGCGCTGGCGAGGATCTGTCGCGTTTCGAGGGCGGGGACGCGTCGCTGCCGCTACCGCTGTACGAGCTTCTGCGGTCGCGATCGCGTGACCTGCTGCGTGAGTATCTAAGAAAAGAGAAATAGTGTTAAGGCGTTCTGAACAATGTAGTTTAAGGTTGTTAAAAATAGATATCGATAGTCTCAAATCAATACCTTGTATGTCCAAATTAAATATTTTAGAGGAGGAACATTAAACTGTTTTGGTTGCTTAATAAAGCCAAATATGAATAACCCGTCAACACAGTTATTTATTTTTAAAATTTTGTTCTGAAATAATTTGTATACATGGGAAAAAGTAAAAATTAGAAATTTCGGAATAACGAAGTATTGATTTGAAACAGTTGTTATAAGAAATTTAAAAAATCCACAAACCTTCTATCCCTATAATCTCTGTACCCTCCTCTTTGTCCGTACCGTCCACGCGGCTGCCGCCTGTTGCCCCTGTTCTGGAAAGGGTACGGCCTACCTCTGCCACGATAATCTCTATCGCCATACCTGGAATCCCTATTATTATTATAATAACCGCCTCCCCTACCTCTTTGACCGTTATGCCTTGGGTTTTGGAACCGTGGCTTGTAGTAGGTGCCTCTGTCGTTGTTGTGGCGACCTCTGAAGCCGCCCCGGCGCACGTACCGACGCCGATCGCCCGAATAACTGCGCGATCGACTGCGGCTGCGCGAATAATACGAACCGCTGCGTGACCTCGATCTGAAAAACAATACAACATTAATAACCAAACTACATTGTTTAACTACAACTTTTCTGCATTTTAAACACTTACAAAACAGAAACCGGCCCTGTCTCATAACAAAAATGATATCGCTGCCTTAAAAAGAACAGGTACAACTCGAAAAATTTTGAATTTGTACTTTTTGCATACATACAACCCAAAACTAATGATTTTTTATGTGAAAGTGTCATAAAGATAACTGGCTATTCCGAAAGTTTTGAAATCTCTAAAATGATAACTCCCTTTGCGAAAAAAATACTACATATTCAGTGGTATGCTAGTCATCTTTAGCACAGGTCATTATTTGCTGAAAACTGCTACATTTCGGAAGTGCAAAGTTTTCAATCACTTTATTGGAGCAAAAGCATCACATTTAGAGTTACACCAGTTTTCTCTAAAAAAAGTAAGTAAAAAATTGTTTGTATTATTGTGCGAGCCATATTTCGGTCACCACTTGTCTGATTACCAAATATATATATAAAGAAATAAGTCAACCCCCTAAAACCAACTTAATGTTCCGACCATGGTAAATGGGACGTAGAATACAATAGAATGTTCGATGATACTAAATTGGTTTCATATTGTTATATATAGACGAGAAATTTTGTCGAAACGTCGAGAACTTTTGCCTTTTTGTATAAATAAGCTGTTTATTATTAGGGTTCAGTTGATAGGACAATTTTTTGTGTAAAGATCAATTATTTGAAATATAAATACCGCACAGATAGAGAAAATAAGTATTTGAGATTAATTATTGTTAATTTGTAAAGTGTATAAAAAATTATATAAATAAACTGTTTAAACTATATTAAGAATGTATTATTTTGAGAAATGTCAATTTTGTTTAGAAAAGATATTTTGTATAACAGTTGTTCAGATATTTTATTTTGACAATTATTGTTATATTTTTAGTTTTTTATATATTTTTAGACTTGTGTCGCTATTGACCAAAATAATTTAATATAGCAATTATTTTTCTTTTAGTTATAACACTACAAGATTTTCTTTTTCAGAGCTTTTTTCATGTACAAGACATCTTTAAATCAATCAAATCAATATTTAGTAATAAGATATATAGTCAAAACAAGGGAGATATTGCCCATTTTATTAAAGATAGGCAAATAAAGAAAACTAGAAAGAATGGTCCAATCTATGTTCCTAATCAATATGTAAGCCTAATAAGACCAGCAAAAACTGGCAACTCGTATATATGGTGCATGAACTTTGCTATGATTTTTATAATACGCTAGTTCAGTGTGATGTCATTTTGGTTCCACTGACATTTAATTCTAACCAAACTTTTAACAGAAACATCAATAAATTTGACATATACGTTTTTACTGTTCTTAGTTCATTTCTAAATATTGTTTACAGGTCATAAAAAATAGTTTAAAGGTATGTAATTGGTAACTAAACGATTGTATATTTGATGCGTGTTATCTACTTACTTTAGGAATATATTTATAACAGCGAAAAAACGATATAATTTAGGTAAACAAAACGAACAAAACGCACTCAAAAAATCTACTGTCACTTTAATTGTCAGTGGAACCATAATTACATCATTACTGAACTAGCGTATTGCAAAAAAGTTGTTTAATAAAAAAAAATTGTACATTTTTAAAGTTGGAAATATTAAAACCGATAATACATTTTTTTAACATTTTGTACTTCATTTGGTATAAAACCTAATTTGAATTTTAATAAAATTTTTGAAATGTCTTATCTCGAAATTTGTACTTTTTGAGTTGTGGCGGTGTTCTTCAAAGGTAGCCACATCAACCTTTTGAAATGCAATGAAAGTTTGTAACAGCAAATTGCGTACAACACGAATTAAAAACAGCTAACTACACATGACATCAAAAATAATACTATTTTTTGTCTTCTTTATTAAAACAATGCATCTCACTCAGGTGTTGCAACTAAGTAATTCATAGGGTTAAAAAGTTTTAATACGTTTCAAATTTCATGTTCAAAGTCAGTCAATAAAAACCAGCGTGTTTTACTTTCCATTGGCTAAGTCATTTCAGAAAATGAAAAAATGATTTTAAATCCCTCACGTTCTGGACAAGACCAGCTAGGCATTATTTTATTTTATTTTCAGAAACAAACAGGCATTAGCCTAATTACATGTTTCTATAATATTATTAACAAAAAAAGAAATCAACAAAAGTACACAATATATAATTAATATACTTAATTTTGTTTATATTAAACAAACATCGCTACTAACATGTTTTTATCAAAGTTTAAAGAAACAAAAAAATGCTAAAATAACTAGAGATGCTAAAATAATCAGAGCGCTAGCAAACCCCACACGAAAGCCACGAATATCCTACAAAATCATGTTACTTTAATAATTTTTGTAAGTTCCCTTCTGTACGTGCTTATAGCTACATCAAAAATACCGCAAAAGATGTCTTCGGAATGTACGTTAAATAATAGACAAATTTTTTCTAATGGACCATGATTATTCACACGAAAAGTTAATTTACGGGGGCGAATACCTGCCACTGGAACATTGATTTTTGTTTGACTCAATAAATATTGAACATCTATCTATCTATTAACCAATTTATGTAGAATAACAAGGTTAATTATAGAGCGTCTATGTTCAATTTTTCAATTTTAAACTCGTTTCTAATAGGTTCAAATGAGACAAAGCCTGGACTCGTATGATACTTTTTGAAATATAAGTATTTAATAAATTTATTTTGAATGCTTTCCAAAATTTGTTTTAAATTTTGTAGGTTCCCATACTCTGAAAGTGATTTGCATATTTTTTATTACACTCCAAAACGTCGAAAAGGACCATCAAAATAGGTTGACTCAATGCATTCGTTCTTACCTGCTGTAATAGCTTCGAGACCTGGATCTGCAGCTTCGTGATCTCGATCTAGATCCGCTCGATGATCTCGGCGAACGACTGTACTTGCTACGGCTGCGACTACGTCTTTTCGGCGATCTACTGTCGCTGCGCGGCCTTCCCGGCGGCTCTGGTGGTCTACGACCTAACAAAAAATGAACTATTTGAAGAATCACGAATATACGCAAAATATATCATTTGAAATGTCCAAGAGATCATTTCGTTGACATTTCGAAAATGCATTTCGGATTTTTCATTCGTTGAAATAATTTCATTCAAAGGTATTTTTTTTAAAGCCATTTGCACCGCTACTCGTTAATAAGCGAAACTTTATTGAGATGTCATTTCAAGCTTCGTTAATTTTTTAAAGACGCAGTGAAAATGGCCCTCAATACTCTTCTCTGGCTGCTTGTTAATGCACAAATTCGTAAAATTTTGCGGTTTTCATATGAGGAGATTCAAGACATTTTAATGTCGCAATAATGGAAAGTAGATTGTCGAATATTACCTCTATGTGGAAAAATTTGCACCCTTCAAAGGAATAAAACTAACTTTAATGGTTTGGTTGTTTCATTTATTTTACTCTTTTGAGAATTAATATTGACATTTTGCAGCACCACCTATCGAATTATGCTTTTCCCTTCCATCACAAAGTAAATTTTGATTTTTTTAATAATCATCTGTTAATTTCTGGTAATAGAAAATGGAGTGTCGAGTTGAAATAGAAGCAATCTAACTCTGGATATCCAAAAGCTTGGTTGGGAGGTTATTTCACATTCACATCACTTTCTTGATCTTGTGTCATTAGATTTTCCAATCTTTTGATGGCTTCTTTCAGGATTGAATTATTACTGCAAATCACCAGCTTTCTTCAGACGTGGAATGTATTTAATAGATTTAAAAAAAAAACCTTACGAATTTATGTATCAACTCAATATATTATGCTATTTTCTACATATTGTCTAAATAAAACATTTTATTTAAAAAAATGCATTTTAAGATTAATATGCATGAATTAAAAAAAAAACGAATAAAAAATCTGAAATGCAAACTAGTAGGCTACTATTTTTTATAACACTTTTGGTCTGTAATCTTTAATTTAATAATAAAAATAGTTGTTTGATACTTTCAAATGTCACTTAGCAATTTACTTTTAATACCATATTGCCTTCTTGTAACCATATAACTGTCAAAATTTTCTCTTTTAATTAATGATATTGCCATATTTAATTTCATCAAACTGATTCAATTATTTATAGTTTTCTTCACTCGAATCTTCTTGCATGTCCTCAACTAATAATTTTATGACCATTTCTTCTATATCTCATTTACATTATTCTTCATATTCTTGAAATTCTAACATCCATTCAAATATGCTGAAATTGCATCAATGACCAAACCACTTCCAGTAATCAAATTTTCCATTAAAACATTTTAAATAACTCAGAACCTATTTGTTTCTTCTCGAAAATAAAAATGGGGATTCCCTTTTAAGTAATTACCTATAAAAACACTAAAATTTAAATATCCTTTAATGATTCCAATCCTCTCGAGTTGATTTTTTTTGATCAATGGAAATGGTGTTAATATCGAATTGTTCATCATTTTCTTGCTTTAACTGGGAAATTATATCCAAAATATCCTTTAAAAGACCTTTATAGCTATTTCACTTTATATCAACACTTTTACTATAATATAGGGTGTTATGTGTATCGGTTTCACAATATTTGGTGCCTGAAATTTTGCTACAAAGAAATTGAAGAATCAAAAAAATATACTGTCTATATACAATCATTATATTTTATATGAAAAATCTTTCTAATTTGACAGGCATCAAGTCAGTTGAGCAAAACAATATCAAGACCTCAATTTGTCAAGTTGGACGTCAAAATGTAAACTCTGACTTCAAATGTCAAGTAAGACGTTAAAACGTCAAATAAATGTTAAAATCTCAAATAAGATGTTAAAATATCAAGTAAAACGTTAAAATGTCAAAGACGTTAAAATGTCAAGAAAGTCGTTAAAATTTCAAGTAAGAAGTTAAAATTTCAAGTAATACGTTAAAATTACAAGATGTCAAAATGTAAAGTCAGATGTACAAATGTAAGTCAAATGTACAAATGTAAGTCAAATGTCCAAATATCAATTCAGATGTCCAAATATAAAGCCAGATGACCAAATATAAAGTCAGATGACCAAATATAAAGTCAGATGACCAAATATAAAGTCAGATGACCAAATATGAAGTAAGTTCTCAAAATACCAAGTGAATGTCCAAATATCAAATCGAAAGATGTACAAATATAAAGTCAGATGTCCAAATATCAAGTCAGGTATCCAAATATCAAGTGAAATGTCCAAATATCAAGTGAGATGTCCAAAATATCAAGTGAGATGTCCAAAATATCAAGTTAGATATAAAAATATCAAGTTAGATATCCAAATTTAAATTCATATGTCCAAATATCAGGTTATTCGTCCAAATATCAGGTCATACGTCCAAATAACAAGTGAGATGTTCAAATATCATGTCATATGTCCAAATATTAAGTCATATGTCAAGTAATTTGTCCAACTATCAAATCAGATGTTCAAATAGAAAGTCAGATGTCCAAATATAAAATCAGATGTCCAAATATCAAATCAGATGTCCAAATATCAAGTCAGATGTCCAAATATCAAGTCAGATGTCCAAATATCAAGCTAGAATGGTCCATACTTCTTACTATATCATTAAATTCACACATCTCCCAGAATTCCAATGTAAGCGACAACTCAGCGTGTAATAAGACCAATATTGAATAGAAACTGTGGCCCGTAGAACAGTTATTCATGTTTGACATAATAGAAAATAATACATTTTTTTTTTAAATACACATTCAATGGAAAAATCCTCACCTGCCGCCAGTTGTGCCTCTTTTTTCAATTCCGGCGGAGTCATTAGCCTAAAGTTTCCGAACTTATCGAGCACGACCTGTCCCTGCGGTATTTTGTTCATTGGTGGTGGAGCGGGCTTCATTTTTTTGGGCGAATCCGGCTTTTTCGGAGGCGGTTCTTTTAGCCGTTCCATAGCCTTGCGCACGCTCACCGCCTTCTCTGTAGGCGGTAACGGTGGCAGCGATGACTTTTTCGGCGGAGGCGAGTCATCGGCCGTCGAACCTAATGAACGATCTTATATTTAAGAAAAAAAAAATTATCAAAAATTGCTAATTTCAGTTTAAAAGACCCCGCACAAAGTAATAAGTTTTGGACAATTTATCACGCCATTAAACAACTTATGTAAGAAAATTATTTTGCAGCATGCCTTAGATTTTCTTGAATACTAATTTCAGAAATCTGACGATAATTAGTACCAACTCAATCAATTCCTAACTTGTATGCATGTCTGAAAAACCTCCTCTCAATCAATTCTACATCATTCACGTGTGGCCTGACAGAAGATGAATAAATGAGCCAAATATTATTAAGATAAAATAAAATCCAGATTTTACATGTAATATTTCAGTTTTAAAAGTTAATTTAGAATTAAGTAAGATACCAAGATATCTTTCTTATCTCACAGCTCCTAGACTCTTACATGTCATTTATTTTATATTCAAAAAAATAGCTAATATTCAATTCTAGTAAATTTGTTAATGACCAGTCATACAGCTTATTTACCACATTCTGGTGTACCACAATTTTTTAAATTATGTATGTTAAAAATTTTTTAACTCATCTTTAAACAAAAGATAATTAACGCCGTTAAAACATGACCAATATCAGTAATACATTGAATAAGATAGGTTCACAATGTGAGCCTTGTAGTACCTCTGAAGGAACATTTATGGAATGTGAAATAGAATTATTATTCACACATTGTGTTCTGCTAGAAAAAAGTTGCATAACCTCTCAGCACACAATCATGGATTCTTAATTAAGAAAGATTAGTAATTAGTAAATTATGGTGAACACAATCAAACGCCTTGGAAAAATCGTTGATATATCATCTAACTAGCTGACTTCCAAAGGCATTCAACATAATAAGTTTGTGATTGTTGATTTACCTCTAAAAAAAGATAAGACTTTGTGACAATACATGGCGACATAATCAGGAAGTCGATAATATCAGTTTCCTGAAATTATCACGAAACGCCATTTCTCAAAAGATTAGTACGGGGTCTTTTTGTAATAAATCAAAAATATTATTAAAAAAAAAACTTACTGCTCTTGCCTCGTTTCTCGATATCCATCCCCCAATCGCTGGTCGAGGGCGGAGGCCTGTCCTGCACCTTCTTCTTGAACCTCGAATTGCCAGAGGTGCCCGGCCCGATTTGCATCTTCCATTTTTGGGTACCGCCCACGGAAGCGGTGGCCTCGGCCACCGCCTGCCGCGCTTTCTGCTCCCTAGTGGGCGACGGAGAGTCTAAGATACGTTTAGGGGGGCTCTCGCTGCGGTCCTTGCTGAAAATAATGGACGGCGCGTGAGGAAAAAAGACAAAACCATTTCGATGACGACGGTTGGTTTTTTTATGAAAGTGAATTATTTTAAGGGAGTATTATGTACAAAAGTGATAAATTATTAAATCCTGAAGGGTATCCAACATCTTAAACGAGGACATCTTAAACGAGGACATCTTTAACGATGAGATAAAAATAAAATTACATTTATAATTTATTGTTTAAAACTAAAGGCCTATAATAAAGAAAAATTTTTTGGAGAAATGTTTTAAGTACTAATAAATCTTAACAATTAAGTAAATAACTAAAATGATTTTAAGTATGTCCAAAAAAATTGATTGTTAAAACTACTATGGTCGAGTGACTTCAGCAAGAGTAAAATAATTTATAATTGAGGGGGAAAGTAGAAAAAGTAGGCTGAAATAGATAAGTAATACCAGAATGTCACTTAAAAATAATAAAAACAGAAAATAAACTATAGGAGATTTGCAATAAGTGAAAAACACAGAAAAGAAAGCAAAGTAAAATACCAAGAACAAACTGACAAACAATTCGAAAGATTTAAAAATGAAAGCACTGAATCAACACTTGAAAAACGATGGAAAACTTTCAAAGAAATTCTAATAAAAAAATCAAAGGAGATACGTGCAATAATTTGATTTAATAAACATTTAAAAAGAACAGAGGTGCATTGAAGAAATAGAATTACTAGCAAAAAAACATGAAGAAAGTATCTTTAGACAAAAATACAAAAAAGATAAGGAGGAATATGTTAAAAAAAGAAATTTAGTAAAAAAAAAGCGAGTAACGAACTCCTGGAGAGATATTGAAACGGAAACATGCATCAAATAATACATTTTTGTAGAAGATACAAAGATTACGGGAAAACAAGAGCTATACAAAATTAAAATAAACTGAAAACAGAAGGACCACAAATAAAAGAAACTTAGAGATTAAATTATAAAAACAAATATAGCAGTGCGCCGATTGAGATAATACCAAATAGACGAAGAAGAATTAAATTATTATCAATCTCAAAAAATACAAAGAAGAGAAATAAGAGGCCATAGATAAAATCAAACTAGGAAAACAAAATAAAACGGCGTAGCTCCAAAAATGGTAAATGGCTAGGAGAAAAAGGCATGGTTGTAGAATATAAGCAGAAAGGCTTGGTAAAAACACAAATTCCCAAAAGATTGAGAAAACTTAATATTAATATACAAGAAAGGGGACCGACCACACAATGTAAAAATTACAGACCAATATTCTTAGACCAAACCAGCTTAAAAATTTACACACGAATAATTAAGAGAATATATCGATGATTTTCGAGAAAAGTGACATAATTCAAAATTCTAAGTTTTGTGTCATAAAGTTACGTATTTTTATCTGGAAAAGCGTTAAGTGAATTTTAAGGTAATGCCAAGAGATGGCGCAAGTGTTGTTTTTTTTTTCTATCGGTCGATTTGTGTCGACGCCTTTCTAGAAAACCGTCGCAACTCAGTTATGCCGTAAGCACTCTTAAGGATCAATCAACTTTTCAGATCTCAAAAAGTGTCGAAATTACGTACGATTACTTTATCAAGATAAGGGTCCCATTTTTAGTTGTGACATTTTTACCGATAAGGGTGCGTTCATTAATTACGTGAGGTGTTTAAGGGGGGATCAAACAAAATCTTTCCAAATCTCACTTGGGGGAGAGGGGGTCTTTGTCAGAATTTTTTTCTAGTAGAAAACATTGTAAAATTGCGTGAAAGTAAAGTTAAAGAATGTTTCTAGAAATTTTATATTACGGCAATATTCTCAAATACTAGACTAGTCTTAAATTATTACTTTCAAATTTGGGCACGTGAATCACAAACAACTTGTCCTAAATAGCAAATAAGTCATTTAACCACCGAGTAAGTAACGTCTCCCGTAAAATTTAAGATAAAACTGGTGTCATTGTTTTTCTAAAACTGGAGGGGCAAACGTTAATATTTGAAAACTGACGCAACTACCATCTAGCAGCCCCAACTTGATATAAAATTACGCCGTTGTTATATCGTATAGAGGGACAATTTTTTTTTTTAAATAAACCAACGCATTTACACCCAAAACACAAATTTTGAAAAATCTCACATTAGGGGAAGGGGGAGTTGAGGAAAATCTCACCAGGGGGGAGGGGTGGTCAAAAATCCTCAAAAATAGCTCACGTAATTAATAGACGCCCCCCTAAGGTAAATGTAACAAATTAGTTGTTTTAATCATTATAGTGATTTTGAGTTTTCTTTAAATATTAGTGAAATTATCGAACGACTTAATTGTTAAATTTTGGGTCGTCAACATATTAATTTTGGAAATACGTTTTCTCAAAAAATTTTTGCTAATTTTTGAAGTTGTGTCAGCTTCTCTAACATACAATTTTTACGGTTTATGTAATTTTTTTTCAATCACCTTTGTCGAGCTCAAACCGGCCTACAATGCAAAACAGATTCTTAAAGATAATAAAAAAGAAGGCCTACGAAAACTGATGGAAATATCTTTCCAAAGTATTACTCCCATTTCTACAAGAACCTGTAATTTTTTTATAACCATTGCTTTTAAGATTTTCAAGTATTAAACGATAAAGAATGTTTAGTTTAAAAATGTTTTTTAATTTTGAAACCAAAGAATAGTTGCTTATTTGAAACTTCGTGATATTATGTGTCTTGACAATATTGAGAGCTTTAAATTTGTGCAATGATAAGGTAGCTACTCTACAGAGACGTTTAAGAAAAAAAGGTGGGAAAGCATTCCATTTAAAAATTACTAGATATTTATTAAAACAAAAAGCAGTAAATTTTTATCGATTTAATACAGAATGGCGCATAAATGTTTTTTTTAAACTCTTTTTAAAAATTTTCAAAATAAATACTTTGCGAAGGTTTACAAAAAAATTTCACAAAAATCGGACCAAAAATAACGGCTCAGAATGAATTATAAATTTTCGAGGTGTCCGGTTTGCTCTTAACTTGTCCATTTAAATGTGCCATTATTTATTATATTAATATACAAATTTATAGAAAAGATTTATTTTTTAATAAAATATGATCAAAAGTAAATTCTTTCTTCTTTATATTTTTAGTACTTTTAAAAACTTATATCAAATTTTGAAAACATTTCCATGTGCTAAAATATTTTCGAGAAAAATTTTTGTTTTCTTTTTAAATCAGCTAAGAATAGAAGCTTAGTATATTCCCTTAAAGTACAATAATTTCTCAAAGCCATTAAAATTGGCCAATATTCATACCGGCTCAAAAACTCAAATGATTTGTTGGCGGAATTTTAAGTGATTTTCTACACATCTTGATATTTTTTAATTCTCAAAAACCAATTAGAAAAGGAACAAGCAGCTTTCAAATCAGGAAGATAGACAACACATATTATCTTGAGAAGACTAATGGAAAGAACTATAGAAGGAGAAGAATAATTATATCTAGCATTCATTGACCTGAGAAACATAGAAAATAGTCTAATTCAAAAACGTAATAAATTATGAAGTCTATTCAAAAACGCTTTAAAATGCACCATGCACCGTTTAGAAACAAGAGACAATGTTGGGATAGTTGTGATTCAACCTGTATTTTATCGTGAAAAACAAAAGTTCATTTCATCAATTTTTTTTCAATTTAAGGTCATAAGTCGATGCAATTCCCAAAATAAAGAAATAAATTAGTTATTTATGAATGTTCATTAAATGTATTTCTGTATGTATTTATTACAAACTTATCAGCCACTGTTTGTTTGCAGTCTTATGTAATTATTATTACTTGATAATATGTAGTTCAAGTATTTGTATATTTTGTTTAAAACGTGGCTGTTCAAAATCCCGCCCTGTCCGCTTATAATCGACAAAAAAACTCACCAGTGCAAAGAAATATAATACTGCATCTGCATGATTAATATTCTAAGCAATTCACTTCATTTTAGTCAAAAATATCGACGCCATTTAAGCCTTAAAAGTACACAAACACAATTTAATGTTACAATAATCGAAAAACACATCCATTGATTCACAAAACGTTTAAAATATTACTAATTATTTGTCAAATCTCGCCAAACATGTCACCCAAACGCTTGACATGTGATTTAATTTGAGGTTAATCATGAGCTGGCACTTTACACTCGCTATCTCCGTTATCGTCAAATTGATAAGGAGCCCGCGCAGTATTGTACTCGCCCAATTTGTTTCGGAATTATTTTCACACAATATTTTTTTTACAGCGCGATTTTAAAATAAAAATGAAAGATACCAGAAACCCTATAGCCAACAGGTTAATTTTAAATTAGAAAGAAATGGATGGCAAATTAACAACGTAATTAAATTTTAAAAATGTACTTTACCAAAATGAAAAATGTCACTGATATTTTTTTTTATCAAAATCTGATTCATACTTTTGTCATTTTCGATTAAAATTATTGTCATATTATGAGGTTCTAGTGTGAGTAGCAAATAGCAACAACCATCATGCTAGATTAATTTCAGTTAGATTTTTTCTAAATGCAGTCATTAAAAAAATTAACAAAAATAGAAAATAAAAGGAAAAAAGACACCTAAAAATTAATAGACATAGTCACTTTCATAAAAAAATAACTGCCAGTTTCATAAAAAATTAACTGTCTACAAATGTATATGATGTTCACAAAAAAATATACAGAGTGAATACTAAGTTGATATACTTTTTCTTACTGTCATTGACGTTACATACTGTGGTCCGGCCCGTACCGTATTGCATTGACGCCAGAGCAGTGCAAGAGAGACGGGCAGCAGAGGATAGAGCCACACCGGGACACATTTGATGTTTGGTTGTATATTCACTCGTGCGTTTAAATGCATTTAGGCAAGTCTTCAACTGTTTTAAGAAGGTTTAATTCAATTTAATGAGTTTTTTTTTTTTTTTTTTTTTTTTTTTTTCAAAAAGGGACCTAAGTAATCTGTTTTAAATAGTGTATAGATTATTTATTATAATGGTCGAATCCTGTTCGGCAATAAATTGTACGGCTAAAAGGGAGGAAGGAGTGAAACTAAAATTTCTTCTAATATGTAAATTAAGTCAGGACCATCTCAAGATGTATTTCTCTGCCATACGTAGTAGGGGTGGCTTTTCAAACAACCCGACAGCATATTACTTTGAAAATGCCTACAAAAGACAATTAATTCACAGCGAAATAGCCTCTTCTGATAGTGCTAATTGCCTGGCACAAGATAACACCTCAATTTTAAATGTCACAGCTAAAAATCAATCTGAAAGTGTAACTATGGACCTTTTGCATGAATATGAAGAATTTTCAGATGTGGAAGAGGACACTTTCATTTATAACTACAATAATGTTTTAAATTGTTCATACATGTGTGATGTCAGATATATTGCAGGTTTTGTTAGCAGAAAATTAATAAAAATATTAAGCTGCAATGAATGCGCCAGTGTCTTAACATCTCAAAACTCTCTTACTTTATTATTAAATAAAAAAAATCGAGGCGCTCTCTGTAAACCATGCAATGACTTGCAGTTATACTGTTCTTTCACTCAATTTAAAAAAAATGCTTTAAATTTTTTTTGTAGTTACAGTGTGTCTGATCGCTGAGGGTTTAATTAAATCAGAAACAAACTTTTCATCACAAAATATTATGATAAGGTTGATATCCTTATAAATAAGGAAACTTAATAATAATACGTTATTTGTTAATTTAGAAAATCATTTTAAAGAGCAAGATCCCTTACAGAGCCATTTTTTGCAGTTAATTAAACTTATTTTAAAAACCTATTTTACAATAAGACTTCATCACATTAATTCAACTAAGAATGAACCTAGAATTAGGCAACATCTCACAAAGACAATTACATTTAGTCACCAATAGTACCTAATAATTAAATGTTATTTTTATTTTATTTCATTTTTGTTAAATTAGTTTTTACTATAATTAATAATTTTTAGAGACGTGTTTTTATTATATACCCACCCATTAGGTACAGTAGAAACAAAAAACTAAAAAAAAAAACAACGGATAAAATCATACTTAATACTTTTTTAAAAATTAAATCGGGGCCTGGACTTGTGTATGTAAAGTTAAGCCAAATAAGAAGTCTGTTTGTGTTTTTATCTTTTTCTTTCGGATTTTCTAATGAATTCATTGTTAGCGATTATTGTAATTAAGTCACATGTGATTTCAGTAGCGTGTTTATCTGAAGTAGTAAATTTAAATTGTTCAGTATGATAAATTATGATAATGAACTCGTGGATATTATTTCAAAGTGCAGCTGTTGCTTCGGTAAACGCTTTCCCTTGCAAGCCAATCCTAGTCCCAGAATTTTAATTAACCTGACACAACAGGTGGAGGACGTGTAAGAAGACAGAAAAGACATGAAGTGCGTTTAGAAAAACACATTTTAAATGCTATCGAGGAAGATCTAACAAGTATGCAGGTGACTGCATATCAGGTGGGAGTAAGAAAAAGAAAAGTGCGGACAGTTATGAGGAAGTTTTAAATAAACTTAACACGTTGAGTACGGGAGTGAAGAAATAAAAGTCTTGTCGAAGGACGCGAAATTTTTTGGCACTCATCTTACTCGGATAAAGCCTAATTTGTAAATTTTATGTTTCAACAAATTTTTTTTAAAGTTTTTTTTCAATTATTTCATCGTTTTTTTCGTGGCTGAACGTTGATGCCTCGCCGTCTATATGGCTAAATTCAGAAGGATGGTGAGGCATTGATGTGATGCCACATTTTTGCGCGTTTAGACCTGTCGATTTATATGCATGCGGGACAATGCATTTGTGCTGGAGCGGCAGTTGCTGCGTGTTTGAGCTAACGTAAACATAATGGGTGATTTTGAGAAAGAACAAAAGAGATTACGTAAACTGTGGGATAATTGCATGTCTGATGAAGACGGCAATGTTAGTGAATTTGGCGAAGTTTACCTGTCAATAATATCATACTATTGGTTATTTTTTATGTTAAATTAAACGCATTTATTTAGATTAGTTTTTTATAGCATGTTTCGATTGTAACATTTTGCTTAATATTAATAATATTTAAACCAAATAAAATAAACTTATGTAACACAGGATATGTCTTATTTTGAAGGCCAGCTAAACTTTTCTATTACTATAGACCGCTAAGAGCGAGCTCCTATGTTTGTAGCATTATATCGAGATGTACTACTACTGACTGTGGCATCATACTGATGCCTCGCCGTCTCAAAGAAGACAAGCAGTGAGGAGTCCGTTAAATGCCACACCGTACTTAACGTGTTAACTTATTAACATTAGAAAACCATAGAATATTCATGGAAATGACTTTGTTATTCAAACTATTGTCAGGGGATATTTGTTGCCCAGAACTTTTATTCCTTTTCTCACTTAGGATTCGTAACCACAGTTTGTTGGCTCTTCCATTTCCTTATACAAATTATGGATATCACACTCCTGTCTCTCGCTTATCAAAAACAGTCAATATGCTTGGTAAACAGGGTATTGATTTTATGGATCCTTTCCTGAGCACCTTTAAAGCTAAGTTGAGGTCAACGCTTTTAAAACATGATATCTGTGATTAGTCAATAAATGTATTTATTTTTTGTATCTATGTAGGTTAAATACCACTGTATTATTTTACTATAAAGGGATTTTCCCGTTAAATAAATAAAAACTTGAAGATTTCCGCCGTAGAGTTCAATTTTGTGACTGGACAAGAATGTGATCAACAGTTTTCGACGAAAGTTCTAGCTACGGACGAGTCAACATTCTCCCGAAATGGAATTAACAATTTCAGAAAATCGCATTTTTGGTCTGTTGATGGTACCCATGCAATTCGGAAAAATAATTCTCAATACCGAATTTCCATAAATGTCTGGTCAGGAATTGTGAATGGATTACTGTCGAGCCGTACATCTTACCGGACCCTTTAACGGGCGAAATGTATCTTGAATTTTTACAAAACCATCTGCCTGGTCTATTATAAGAAGTACCAACGAATATCAGGCAAGATATTTGGCTTCTGCAGAATAGGCACAGGTGTGGGAGTTTTAAAACAATACTTTTTCGAATAGCTGCATTGGCTGCGTGGCCATCAGATCTAAATCATTGATTTTTTGTTGTGGACTACAATGAAAACTTTCACTTAAAAGACACCGGCAAATACACGGGAATAATTGCACGCATTAATCAGACTGCAGAAACAAATATTACGAGCCATTATGAAGCAGTGGTTACGTCGAGCAGAGCGTTGTGTTGAAGTGAATGGTGACAACTTTAAACACATTATTTAAGTTAGACAGAACCGCATTTAAATTAAATTAATGTAGGTTTCTTATTTTTTAATTTTTTTGAAAATTATTTATTTTAATGATTTCTATACAGTTAAAAAAGTATCAACTTAGGAATCGCCCTGTGTATATGATATGAAAAGTTTTGTTTTTAGATTACTCATATTTTTTAGAATACTACTTTTTTGTACCTTCTGTAACATCCTGCAAAATAGGAAGGAAAACAAGGCATATTTAAATCTGAACTCTCTGAAATATTTCCCGACAATCTTCATTTGATTACCACCAAATTAGCCAATAGAAATTTTAAAACAGGTGTTACAATATACAGATTTGGCGAACCTCGATTTCCCCAAAGATCTATTAAAAATTAAAAAAGACAACTGATACAACTCCACCCGAAAATTAAAAGAATCTAAACATGTAAATTAATTCAAAAACATTTCAGAAAGCCCAAAATTTGGAAAAAAACAATCAAAAATACTGTATAATTAAAAAAAAATAAAAAGTTACGAATACGAATTATTAAAATATATTTTAAACCAACTCGCTATTTTTAACCCTGTTATTAAGGATTAGATCTACAATTTTCAAAAAATTAGTTTGGGCAGGACATTAAATATTTCTACTCGGTTTAAAAATAACTACCAAACTACTAAAGCAGAAGCTGTGTGGTGAGCTAATAAAATTTGGAATTATTTACTTCCTTCAATCGGACCGAATAGTAAACGGTTTCAACTGACACTTGACATAAGCGTATAGTGTTCCGTCCGATCAATGACAAGCATTCGCCATTTCCAGATTTTAGATGCTCGTTATTTACAACTTAATAGAAAATTTTAAACTCTCGGTAATTATTAGTGGCTTTTTTAAAGAAACTTAAAACAAATAAAAACATGCTAAGAAAATTTGAGCAAATTGACAACCAACGGTCACTACCGCTCTTATTTGGATAACGTACCGTTTACTGTCCTTCTCTAGAGCGTAATACGCATTTAATTTTGATTCTAACTCTTCTATATCTGGTAAACTATCAATAAATCTGAAACAAAAATTAGACAAAAAGGATACAAGTCAATTATCACTACATCGAGAACAAGACAAATGAAGTGTAACCTAGCTTAACGACATTGTATTTTTAGGATGTATCAGTTCGTAACAGGTCCGCGATGATTACTAAATATTGAATAAATAGAAATATTTCAACTAGTTTAGCCAACCTATTACAATCCAACAACCTTTTTCTATAAAAAAAACTTACCTCTTGCTGTAGCCAGATTTTTGCAAAAAGTATTCGTCATCATCTGATGGTAAGCTATGCTTTTTCGATTTTTTTTCTTTACTTAATTCTTTCTTAATGGCATCCCTCAATTTCTTGTGATCATCCAATTCGCTCAAATCGAAGCTCTGTTTCCTCTTCAACTTATCCTTCTTCTTCTTTTTCTTGCTTTCCTTCTTAGCCTTTTTATCTTTCTTTTTCTTCTTTTTTTTATCCTCGCCGCCCTTGCCCTTCTTCCATTTGGCGCTTTCTTCCAAGAACTTCCTCACTTTGTCCTCGTAATCGGAATCGCCTTTCGTTTCCGCTAAAAATGCCCGAACTGTAAACAAATAAACACCCGTAATTCATCGTAATCGTCAGTAATGTTGGTCGGACTGAAGATCGAACAAAGTGTAATCCTCTGTCCGATCATAAGTAATGTTGGTCGGACTGAAGACTAAACACTTCCTTTTTTGAAAAGTGTTCAGTCCTCCGTCCGATCAATTAACGCTGGTCGGACTGAAGATTGGACGCTTCCTCGTTTAATCTATCACCGCACCAAAAAAATCGACAAACGAAAAACAGGACAGGATCGAATATTTACCTTTGGCTTCGTAATCATTCTCTGCGGGTTTCGGAGGTTCCGGCTGTTCGAAACTAAAATCGAAATTGGAGCTGGCCGCTGGTTTATTAAAGTTAAAGTTCGTGTTCGGAGTTTCGTGACTTTGATCCATCAGAGCCATCCTTTTACTAAGAGGACTCAGGGAATGTTCTCGTTCTTTGCGTTTGTGCGATCTAGAGCGGTGTTTCTTTCTCTTTTTAAAATCTGAATCACCTGAGGAGGAGGTCGAATCGCTGGACGAACTCGACGAGCTAGAAGAAGATTCGCCACTACCGGAAGAGCTCGAACTCGAAGTGGAGCTGGAGCGCTTGCGGTTTTTGCGCTTCTTACTCTTCTTTTTCTTCTTCTTGTCCTTCTTCTCTTCGTCTTCGGTCTTTAGTATTTGCTTCAAAGCTTCGTTGACATCGGCGGGTTTAGTAGGAACGTTCAATGCAGGTAAAAGCAACTCGGCCGGTTCGATCAAGTTCTTTGGTTGCGTTTTGTTCTTCAAGAACTCCAAAGAATTCTGCGCTTCTTCGTGGTAAGGGATAATGGTCAAGCAACTTTGGTAGGCCTTTCTAGCTTCATCAATCTTATTCTCCTCCTCGTAGCTCCGGCCTAGAGCGACAAGGGTTTCACCCATGTACTTTCTGGCATTGGCGTGGTTCGGGTTCAATTTCAAGGCGGTTTCAAAGTCTTCAATGGCTTTTTGGAAGTTGCCGCTATTTGCGTACAACGCGCCTCTGGCCACTAAGCCTTCGACGTTCTTGGGATCAATATTCAGCGCTTTATTGAGACATTGAAATGCTTCAACGTGCTTGCCGGCCTTGAAATGGTCGATACCGTCAGCCACGTTGCGATACGCCCATTTACTCGCTTGGACTTGCCTGAGTTCGGCCGCATATTCGTTATCCGGAAACTTATATCTGTAATAGAATTAAATCACTTCAGTGTCAAAGATAAGTGTATAAGGGTTTTTATAATTAGAAATAAATTAATGTTATTCTCTCAGATATAAGTAATGTAGTAAAGGTACTATGTAAACAGCAAAAGAAAGTTTTTTTTTTAAGTTTAAATTCAATATACAAAAACATTCTGTGAAGCAGTATCTTGATGCGAGATATTTAACTGCTGATACTTACTTGAGGCCCGACATGAAACTGAGATGTTTATCAACGTCCATCGATTCAGACAAATACTGAATGTTATTGGGGTTATTGAACCCGACGCTCTTCTCTAACACAGTGTCGTAACTTTCATTCTTGTAATCCAGTGCTTTTCTGTAATCCAAAAAATTATGCATCGATTAGAGCCACTCATGAACACCTAGCGATTAAACTGTTCAATTATTTTATTATATTATTTCGCTCTTCAAAAAACTGAATCGTCGGATTTCTACCTTGTCGATGATCAACCATTCGGGTATTGAGTTATGGATATTTCGCCTGCTTCCTCAAAAAATACCTTTCCATAATGCTTGGGTTTAGCTTACAGGTTCAGACAATTTAAGAAATATTTTTCCTAGTTTTTTTATTATATTTATTTCCAACTGGTGGCGCAAAATAAATTGATAAACCGTTATAAAAAATTTAAAACTCGCATTACCAAACCATTAAAATAAAAAAATAAAGATCTTAATCAGTTCATAACATTGAAAGTGCACTCTAGACTTAACAACGAAACTCCGATAATCCTGACACATATTGCAACAAATTTTAATCAAATGTTATGCATCACTTTTCTTGTAAAATTCGGTCAGTTAAAGCTACGAGATGTCTTGATTCTACATAGCTAATCGAACCGAATAGTGAACGCTTCCTTTTGTTAACAGACGTGTAGTTTTTCGTCCGACCGTATTTAACGTGAAGTCTTCCGTCCGACCATATTTAACGTTTAGTCTTCCGTCTGACCGTATTTAACGTGTAGTCTTCCGTCCAACCGTATTTAACGTTTGTCGGACTGAAAATTAAACGGTTCCTGTGATTAAAAATAGTTTAGTTTAACCATAATTAGGTTGGTAGGATTTAAAAGATTAATGATTTATAAACTAGATTGATCAGCTTACTTTGGGCCACCGTTGTTTTCGTGCAAATAATATTTCTGACAGTGTCTTTGGCCTGTAAGTGCATCCACAAAATGATTTCAATATAGCAATTAAGTAGGGAGAGATGCGAGAATAAATGCTAGAAAAGAACCCTGAAAAAGGCATACATACCCGATCGGCTGAGAGTCCAATCACAGATTTCCTGTTTAAACATATTTTTAAAGATAATCGTTTTTGTCATAACATAGAAATCCTCTCAAAGGTACATAAACAAAACTAAATTCTGCGTTTTAATCGTCTGTGTTTAAATTCCTTGACATTTTATTATATAATTTTGTTTGTCTGGGGTAGCATTTCTGCGAAAAATATGTCTCATGAACTGGATTGCACATACAAAAAGTTCAAATTAAAATTAAAATAAAAACAAATCAGTACAAAAGTAATATACATCCAAGTGAGCCTCACCTTGTTTTATATTGTGATTTTTCGTAAGGTGCAAGTTTTTCAGTTGCATTATACGCCACAGTGCAAAACACAATATTTACTACATATTTTACATTATTTTTAGTTCTTAGCTGTTTATATTTTGTATGGCAAGACAAAAGGTCTTTCTAAAAAGAGAAAAATAGTTTAGTCAAGGAAGTCAATCTGTGGTAACCTAAACGCTCTATCCAGCTATCGGCACGATCTCAATACCTTGTGAATTTAGCACCAATAGATTTTATGTGCTAAAAACCTCCACCAATTTTTTTCTGCACCATAAAAATCAAACTGTACACATTGATATTTAATTAGATATAAGTAAAAGAAATATGTTTAGTACTGGTTCATTAATTTTATACAAACAAGAAAAAAGAATAAAAATTCATATCAACTTTATAAAATATACCAAATAAATTAACTAATTTAAAAAACCTAAAACCAAAACGCAGATTTATTCAAAATTACAATGTACAATCCTGAAATAAAATAATTATTAAACAAATGAAGTGATAAATACGTGCAAAATGGTGTACAAAACAATAGATATTTAAAAAAAAGACTTACTTGTAAACAATTGGAAAATCATCGGTACTAATAAGACCCAATGCAGGATGATGTTCTGGATCTGAAGACTTTCTTGTAATTCCCTTCATGCCACAAACAACTTTATCTGTATCAGATATTATTTCAAGAACCTCACAACAAACATAGTCATTCATCATATAGCTGCGTGTTACCCCCTTTTTATCTACTGCAGGGATGACATTTGCAACTGGACAAAAAGCCTACCAAAAAAAAAAATGATCAGCATAAAAAGCCAGAATAACACTAGATATGAAATGTATTTGAATATTTATTTTATTTAGGATAAAATACAATTATTATAAATACTTACTTTAACATTAATATCAGCAGCATAGAGAACAGGAGCACCTATACTGGCCGTACACAATACTTTCAACATCATTCCAGATTGCTGTTTGCTTACAATAGTGCCCAAAATTAAATCGCCAACTTTAACATTCTGAAAAACGGAAATTTCAAACCAATTGCAGCAAAATAACCTAAATTCTCATTACCTCCATAAAAAATTGCAATCTTTTTTGTTTATCAACCCCAGTGTAAGTCTCAAAAGGCGGCAGGATCGCGTACATATCCTCAGTGATCGGTTTATCACCATTCTTAATCTGAGTAGCCTCTAAGCTGTAAATGAAATTCGCCTTTTTTATGAGGAACTGCTGCAGCTTGAGCCTTTTCCCTCTGTCCTGAAAGGGAAGATTCTTCTGCCTTTGGCCGTACACGTGAAAATTCAACTCTTTCACATTTTTCCTGGCCAAATCGTTCTCGCCGAATTCGCCCTCCCACAATTTCTGCAGTTGCTGTCCGTGGAAGTTCAACGACTTGGAGAGCAACTGCGAATTCATTGTATCCATGTTGAAGAGATTATCTGAAAGTTGAAAAAATACTTGGGCATTTAAAAAAAGCTATGGGGTGATAAGAGCTACTTCAACTTGAATGGATGAATGCTGTGTGTTATTGAAATACACATACATATTAAAACAGGTTAATAATTACTCTCCTAGATTTACTACAAAAAAAAATTGTTTTAACTTTGACAAACTGCAATTTTTTTTATTATTTAATATTTCACTAAAACAAATTGAGTCAGATCGAAATATTTTAAAACTAACCAAACTTCTAAAACTATTTACTTTTAGAGCCACAAAGTTTTTATTATGGTCGAAACAAGAATAACTCTAGTATTTTTTTTATTTCCAACTGATTATGTATAGAAACTTGAATCTGGTTGGGTTAGGTTTTCCTTTTTTTTTATATGCCATACTCTTTCATTTTCCACTCTGTTTTTTGTAGCAAAATAAATAGACTGAAACATAACTTCCCACATTTTGCCATCTCATCTTCTGTAAAACCTTGAAAATGTTCCTTTATCTTGAATGTCGATCTCAATCAAGCCTTTGATGTATAAGTTGAATAATATTGGCCCTAAGATCGTACCTTGAGGTATACCAATTTGTACATATTCAGGATTACTAAGACTTTCTCTTATTTTAACTTGTTCTCTCTGGGTCAGATAGCTTTCAAAGACCTTCCACACAGTGCATCTTATCCCATTCTTTTCAAGTATGTCGAGAAGTTTTTAGTGTGGCACTGTGTCAAAAGCAACATTCAACTGCAATACTATTGTACTATTTGTTCTAAATATGAAAAAGTTGTTATAAAAATGCACAGTATGGCTGATAATTTGATATTTTGCAATTTCTTTACCAGAGTATTTTTATTTTACTATTTTTACCAGATTAGGTAGGAACTTTTATTTTACTGTTGTTTATTTAACGTTTGTTCTATTATTTTCGAATTTAAATACATTTTTATAAAACAAAATGTGTATTTTTTTAATCAGGAACAGATTTCAAATGAAAACGAACGTGGGAAAAATTGTGGGAATTTTGTTGGGCATGTGTGAGAATTTCTGTGTAACACAAGTCAAAATGTATTGGGGTGGAAAGGCAGAAATCACAGTGCCAGGCTAATAGAATTCTAGGAATGTATGGCTTTGGCAAATTCCCAGAATGCATTAAACTATTGCTAGAAAGTTTTGTCTTCTACAATCGCTTCAAAGTCCATGGTACCCGGAATTCTACCCCATACATTGCAAGCGATCGACGGTCAACCAAAATTGGTCTCAACTTGTTGGCCACCTCTGCATATAGTACATATACAGAATCTTAAGTTTTTCACAATGATGCCAGGATGGTATAGAATAAGAGATGCTGTTGATTAGACAGAGGTAGAAAGTGTGCACCACCATAGGTTAACATATTGTATACTAAATGTAACATTCATAAATTTTCACTAAATTCAAATTATGAATACTCAATAAGGAATGCAAATTTATTCAAAAGACCAAGATTTCAACAGTATTATTTAAAAAAATAACCTGAATACTTTAGAATTAATTGTTCAATCAACTCCCAGATTTAATTTAACAATCTGGAAAGAAATATGAATCTTCTAAAAGAAAACTTAAAAACTACTTACCAGGGTCATGTTTGTCTTCCTTGTAATTTTTTTTTTGTATTTTGTATTCTGTACTTATTTATTCCTACTTACTATTTTTTTATTTGAATATGACTTATCATTTATCATGTAATGTGATCTTAAAGGACAAATAAACTATGTTATTGGAAAAATGAGAATTTTAACTATATAAATTACTGCTAAAATTTGTTACATTAATTTTTACTTTCCTATCTGTATACAGATATAAGGAAAGTATAGGAATCATGATTTTTTTCGACCTCGAGTTTTCGACGGATTTTTACGTTTTGAGGTCCCCTGAATCCGTTTTGACTATTTTCGCGATGATGTCTGTGTGTGTGTGTGTGTGTGTGTCTGTGTGTGTGTCTGTGTGTGTGTCTGTATAACGCATAACTCATGAACCGATACACAGAAAAACACCAAATTTTAAACTTAAGCTTTGTTTCAGCGTCCAATGAGCTGATTAGATTTTGGGCAGTGTCGGAACATCTGGGGGGGGTACTTTATAGGTGGTCATTTTTATATTTTATGGAATATATCTGTTATTTACGTTAAGAGAAGAAAATTCTTCAAATAAAAGTTACTTCTAATATAATTATCTATAATTTTTGTTTTATGCAAAATTTTCCTAAAATGGTCCGTATTCGAGAAATTTGACAAAATGTAAAAAACATAATTTTTTATAAAAATTGTTCAAATAAAAGTTGTTTGTAATATAATTCTCTATAATTTTTGTCCTATACATAATTTCTCTAAAATGGACCGTATTCGAAATATTTGAGAAAATGTGTAAATTTCGAAATTTGAAGAAAACTCAGAAACGGATAAAGGAAAAAACATTAAATTTTAAACTTAAGGTTTATTTCGGCCTGACGTGAAACGATTAGATTTTGGACAAAGTCGGAACATCTGGGGGGGTACTTTATGGGAGGCCGTTTTTATATTTTATGGAATATATCTGTTATTTATGTTTGGAGAAGAAAATTGTTCAAATAAAAGTTACTTCTAATATTATTATCTATAATTTTTGTTTTATGTCAAAATTTCCTGAAATGGTCCGTATTCGAGAAATTTGACAAAATGTGCAAAATTCTGATTTTTATGAAAATTGTTGAACTAAAAGTTGTTTGCGATATCGATTTCTATAATTTTTGTTTATACATGATTTTTCTAAAATGGACCGTAATGGAAAAGTGCTAAATTTAAATTTTTCTGTATTTTCGTTTTCAATGAATATCTATAGAAAAATGTTTCGAGGTAGATGTATGTGTAAAATGTATATATTTAGTTTATCCTCTAAACATTTATAGAGATGCTGCAATAGGTTGTACAAAATAACCGGAAAATGCCTATAATAACTAGATAGGAAAGTCATGTGTTGGACACATCAGATTTTTATTACATCATACACTCTCATCACTTTAATATGTATGTATTTCAATAACACTGTGTGTACAATATTTATTTTACACATTCACAAACATAAATTTTTGTTAAATATACATTTCTGGAACCCTTTATTTGTCTCAGCAGATTTTGAATTTTTTTATCTGAAATATCAAGAATTTTATCACTTTATAGATTAGAATGAGATTTGCCTTCTTAAAGCCAGTTTAGTAGTGTTGGTGGCTGCTATTAATTGGTCAATGCTGAGACAATATAAGATCTGTAATCAAAAATCTGTAAAAATTACATTACATATATAGCTCATAAGTAATGTCTCGAAATCTAATCTTAAATTTCAGGAGTAAGATTATGCATTTCTCTGCGAGTCTTTACAACATCCAATTTATTCAAATTCAAAAATAATGATGAGTAGTTTCATTATACCCATCATAAAAAAGGCCTACTGAAAAAAAACATACAAATGTGGCATAAACTATTGTGCCAATAATATACAAAATAAAATAATGTATATTCTTGGACCAATAGTTTATGCTTATTTGTGAATTTTAATGTATCAGATGCGATTCCTTTCCTTCTTTAAAAATTTTACTTGTTTTTGAAGCACCTGAAGTATTTTTATTTGCTCTTTATTACATGAAAGAAAAAGACACTTATTCCATCGTACATAAACAAGACTAGTAGGATCACTTGGGCAGAAGCAGACAATCCCACTCCATCTAAAACCTCAGCAGGTATAGCGAAAGTAAAAGTTGGAAAGGCTTTTGGTAGGTAGAGGGGGTAAACGTCAAACCACGTCGGACGGCTTCGAGAATTTCGCAGTAATGTTTACCTGCCAGTGTCGTTTCATAGAATAAGTAATTTTAAATTGTTATCGGCGGAACCGGACAATCGCATGTATTTATGGACTATAAATAATTATTTAACATGTATTATAATATTCAAATCATAATTTTACAAAATTTCAACAGCTTTCACAATTTATTAAACTATTTTTAGTCCAATTAAATAGACCTATAAATCAAAATTTTGGAGGAAATTCAGGAATTTTTGATATAAGTCACTTTAGAGTATTTGAAAACGATATGTAAAAAAAGTTTGTTTTTCAGGCACCGGCAAATGTCAAAAAACAAGAAAATAAAGTGTTTTTTTAAGATTAGTTAAAAAAGATTATAAAAAAAAGTTCTTAATAAAAATTGTAAAGCATAAAGTTTTACATAAAAATTATATTTGACATTTTTTGGTGTTAGGTGAGTTAGGGTGGTTAGAAATTAAAGGGGATATATATAGCTTGGAAAAATCATAGCGAGCTGAAAACTCAATGATTTTGTAGTTTCTTTTTATTATTTACTCAGAAAATTATAAATTTCTTTTAAGAAAAATTTTTTTTTTTGTTTTTATAAGTTATGACAATTTTAATATAGAAATTTTCAATTAATTGTACGAATTTATATAGTAAATTTTGAAGTAAATTTATCAGCTTGACTGACATGAAAAATATAAGTAGTGAACTAATAAAAACGACATAGCGACAGTTTGGTCCCCTCTTGAATTTAAAAAAATATATAAATATAAGTAAATAAAAATAAATATATAAATCAAATTAAACAAAAATAAATAAAAAGATAAAAGTAAAAGAAAATAAATAAAAATAAATACAAATAAATAAAATATAAATAAAAATAAAAAAAATTAAATAAAAACAAAAAAATAAATACAAATAAGTAAAAATAAATAAAAAAAAAAAATAAACAAAAATAAATAAAATTAATTAAAACTAAAAAAAATATTAATAAAAAAAAATTAAAATCAAATATAAATAAAAATAATTATAATTAAAAAAAATAAATAAAAACAAATAAAAATAAAAAAAAATAAATGATAATAAATGAAAAGATAAGTGTAAAAAAATAAAAAAAATAAAATAATTAAAAAAAAAATTAATTAAAAAAATAAACAAAAAATTTAATTAAACAAAAATAA